AACTTAAAAAACAAAGACAAAGAAAAAGTGGTCGGAGCAGTCGTGACGGCAGCCGACCTCACCGGCGCCATCTTTTGAAAACACTGCTTTAGGGTGGGCTTACCTTGTGACTGACAAGGTTTCGCAGTCATGTCTGCACCTCACCCACCACACCGTTTCAAAACACCTGGACGGGGATGGTTAAAACACTCGGTTCAAAGCTTCACAACAGGACTTTGCTAACAATTGGCTGAAGGCACAGTGGCTATGTCCATCGTTTACTTACAGCCTGTGTGTAGCGCCTTTTTTGTTTGTTTTTTTTACAGCCTGCAGCCAGGCTTATTTTTTGCTTTGAAAGACTTTAAGAATTGTTGTTAAAAGTTCACATTAAGAAGCATTTCTTTTAAAAGTAACTCACCTTATGAGGATGTCTAATGAACCAAAATGAGCTATGTCTGGTTTGAATACGTTTCCTGTTGCTGAAGAATGGTCAATGCTTTGGAGATAAACAATTTAAATTTTAGTTTCAAACCTGAGTCACAGCATTGACTCAGGTCTATGCAGCATGCTGAGGTTTTCTTTCCATCTGCTCTTTGATGTGCGCGAGCTTGCCAAAGTAGCTTTTCATGGCTCCGAGGCCATAGTACAATATTAATGTTGCTGCAGAGGCTCTGAGTGCTCTGCAGCTCGCTTTCTCTTCTCTAATCCATCTCTCCTCCTCCAGCCGTCCTCTGTGCATTTACATCTCAGGCATTTAGTGATGTGGCCCTCAAAACAGATGTAAGTAAGTAAAAGTAAGTAAAATTTTATTTATATAGCACCTTTCAAGATAAAAATCACAAAGTGCTTCACAGAAGCTAACAATTTAAACATGTAACAACAAAGTCATGTTTAAATTGTTGAAAACCAAACGGATAAAGCGCAGGAAGCGAATCTGTGGCTCAACACTAATCAAAAAAAGACTTATCAGGAAGAGCAATTACATAAGAGCTACGGGGAGCAGTGGAGAATATTGTTGGACCATTACTGGAAGTAAACGATACTGAGGGGAGGTGGTGATGATTGTGGGGGTGTCAGGGTTGTCAGAGATAGTGTCTGTGCTGTTTTGACAAGGAGGCAGAGCAGCTGGATTCATCAGTTCAGTGTGAAAAAACTTGTTACTGATGTAGTTGTTATTAGACTCACAGTGTTGGTGAGCTTGGTAAATGTGACGTTGTGCTAAAATGTTGCTTTTCTGAATAACCTGTAGGGATTGGAAGGTTAAGTTTGCTAAAAGACAGCTACAGTCCTGAGCTGTGTGCTGCCTTGTGATTGTAGGTGTATTGAAAAGAGACCTTGTCTTTGAATTTGAACGAAGAGTCTGATAGATAGGGTTTGGTACACAGTGAAGTACTGGTTGTGTCTATAAATACAGATATTACCCTGCATGAGCTGACTCACTGAGTAGTAAAAGAAACCTCAGCAGTCAAGGCCATAGACTGTATATAAAGGATGGACATAGCCATTGGTTTTGTGACCTTTACATTATAAAGTATCAATGCTAGACTTTTGCCTGTTGCTCCTGTGTGGGTGGGTGGGTAGTTTTTATTTTTTATTTTTATTGACCTAGAATGTGCTCTAGGAAGGCCAGATGGTGGACTCCTAAGTAATCAGCTAATGCTAGCAATGCTAGCAGCTAACTTTGTCTAAAAACATTCAACCCTGTACAAGTTGCTGTTTGGTAAAATTTCCTGTTGTGAGCTGATAGTAATCACTGTCTAAAACAAGTCTTGAAGTGTTTTGAACCAATGCTGCACTTTTAACAAGGAGATTGAATCCCACTCTTGGTCTGTTGTTTTTGTTTCTCACAGGACGATTTCCTGTTCAGCGTGTCCATTGTCAGCGGTTTGATGTGCATCATATTGGCTGTAATCAAGTTCATGCTCGGCAAAGTACTGACAAGCCGAGCTCTCCTCACTGATGGTAGGTGTGCACGTGCAGAGAGATCATAGCTTTTTAGAACTTGTAAACTTTCTCAGCTTTCCGTAGTGATGCCATCACAATCGTAAAAATCATGGGTTTGTCACTCTGACATGTCTGTCAGCTCCAATTGGTTTCCTAAAGTTGCCTTATAGTTGATGAGATTACAGGTGCATGGAGCCAGCTTAAACATCTGTCACACTACTGGATTCTTGGTGAAAACAGTGAATATCACAGTGACACTAGCAGGTTTCTGAGAGCTGACCTCTGAACCCTCAAAGCCGACTTTGACTGACATTTGTAGTCTCTTTCCAGGATTTAACTCACTGCTGGGGGGGATCATGGGCTTCTCCATCCTGATCAGTGCTGAAGTCTACAAGAACGAGCCCAAGGTGTGGTACCTGGATGGAACAATAGGTGTCCTGATAGGTCTGATCATCCTCGCCTATGGAGTTAGGTAAGTGGCTAGTACTTGGTAAAAAAAATGGCGTACCTTTTATTTGGTGTCATGAGATAATTGTTGATATTGCAGCAGAACATATCCACAGAATGAATAGAGGAGCTGGGGTGGAGGTGGGTTGCAAAGCAGCTTGCAGAGCATTGGTTTGGACATTTAGTGAGGAAATGGTTTAAACTAACTACCCGAATAAATACTCTGTGGTGTTTTAAGATAATAAAAGCACAATGAAGTCAGAATACCTCCATCTGGAGTCAGTATTCATAAAACCAAAGCTTACAAAGTGATTTGGTGTAATTGCACTGTGTTAGTTCTGTGTGGAAAACCAATTTCAGTGTGTGCAGTTTTGTCACTGGATTCATATAAAAGCATTGCAAGTTATATTTTGTACACGGGAATGATGAAAAAATAAAATAGTGACACCTTTAAAGGTTGAAATCTCGAGGCTAGAAAATTTGTATTCTAACAGCTGGTAGGGGTCTGAAGGTTGCTGTCATCTCCATTTTCAAATCCCCCAAAGCGACCTTAATGTTTAAGTGCAATATTGAGCTGAGATGCTCAGATGTATCATTAGGTGGATCAGAGGTTGATCTCTTTGCCTGTTTTTTTTCTGTGCCGCAGACTGCTCCTGGACATGGTCCCCCGCGTCCGACAAACCAGGAACTACGAGCGCTTTGAGTGACGGATCACAGAGGGCGGGTTTGGGAGTGACTGGCAGGATGGGGACTGTAGAGGCCCTCCACAGACAATCACAATCAGTCCTCGCGGTGCCAGCGAAGGCGTCGCTGTCTGTGCAGTTCTCCCATTCAGAGCTGGAGTGGAAGATGGCGTCAGTGGCATATTTTTAATGTTTTACAGTTTAATGTACATATGAAATGTTCACCTGTTTTTCAGAAGTCAAAGGCGCAGTCTGCTTTTTCATGCCTCCATATTTAAAGAAGGTAACAGAGATAAGACTGTGGGGGAGGGGGTTAATGTAATTTTTCAAAAGTTGTACACAGCTCAGACTGCAGTGTTACGGATGTTCAATACCTCAGTTACATGTCATCACCCCGTCACGACAGAGCAGCTTGTTTTTTCCCATGGTTCCACGAGGCCTTTGCTCAGCTGTGCTATAAAGCTTTGCAGCACAGCAGGTCAGAGTGATTGATGCAGCTGATGTAGCGGTGGAGTATTAATGGTGTTTACCTTTTTATGACTAGAGAGAAGATAAATATCAATAAAAAGTCCATTTGGCACAAGGAGCAGGTACATAAGCACACACATGACAGGCTCAGTGACGTGTGATTAGCCGTTTACAATATTTATCCAGACTGCTGCAGCAACGTCCTTTTAGTGCCAGCTTACAATCCTGGAGCAAAAAAATAATCTTTCTTGGCACAAAGAGTCGGGACCTGACTCTTTTCCACTGTAACTCTAACAGAAGGAAAACAAAACGGCTGCGCTGCCTCCCAGGAAAAGCATTTATACAATTAACTCGCGCCCTCTACTGACCAAAAGAAAGGACTACAAAATGTAGGTCATTACATGAGAACGGTTATCTAATATGCAGTTGTGCTCAGAAGTTTACACACAGTCATCATGGGTCTGTCATGGTAATTTGGCATTTTGAACTAGGGTGGAATGATTGTTCAGGATACATGTGCAATAATTCAAAAACAAGAACAAGAACTGGCTGCAGAGGTTTCAGTATATTTCAGATTTTCTTTACTCCACGCGGGGTCAAAAGTCTACAGAGGATCAAATATGTGCAAGTTGCACCTCGAGCCGCAGAATTTGAATTTACACTATTATTTTATCCGCTTTGTGCAGTGCACGTGTATCCCAGTAAAACAGCCTGAGAGCATGATGTTACCACCACCATGGTTGACGGTGGGTACAGTGTTCTTCGGTTTGAAAGCCTCACCTTTACTCCTCCAAACATACGTCTTGTCATTGTGGCCAAACAGCTCAATCTGTGTCTCTCTGACCATAAAATATTCCTCCAGGAGGTATTTGGCTCGTCCATGTTGGCAGTCACACATTTCACTTGTGCTTGAAGGTGTCGACTTTTTTACCAGGAGGTTCTTTCTTGTTTCAGTGATCCTTAACATCTCAACCAATTTCCTCTTTCCCGAGGGTAAGAGTTGGGGTTTTCTTCCAGACCTTGGAAAAGTGGTGACACGTCTGAATAACTACGATTCTTTGAACCGATGATCTTGGCGTCTGAAGTTGTTTAGAAATGCCTCCGAGAGACCAGCCCAACTTGTGTAAATCTACATAAACTTGTGACCACCAACTGTAGCTGAGTGTTTGAAGCCTGACCCTGAGACAAAATTCCCCACATGAGACGCATGTAAAGGTCAAAGAAAATGACCGTCACACTAAATGCTTCCACACTGTTGGCACTGAACTCAATGCAGATACAGCTTTCATACTGACCAGTGGCACAAAAACAGATTTATGGCTGAAGCTAAAGGCCCCACACGTACACAGGTATCAGTAAGCTCAGCTTGTTCTTTCCCCTGATGCAGTTTTAGGAGCTGAAGACTATGAAAGAGTTCCAGACAGAAGCTGTTCACAAACTGTGCTGTTTTTATGAGTGGGCAGCAAGAGCTGAGTTCTTACCTCTGCCAGGGAAGTGATCTGTTTCAGTTTGTCTGTTAACAGGTGCTGGTCCAAAAGCTGCAGAGAGATTTTCAGGAATATGTAATCAGAAGGTGATTGTAGCGCAGTGTGCAGGTTTTTAACTGTCAGGGGTAATTGGATGGATTCTTCAGATACGTCACAAAGTCGAGCATTATAAGGTCGGAAAACCTGAGAGAACATGAACCAAACTTGTCTGGATTTTTCCTCCTGGGTTCAGTTCATGCATGCTCTCTGCTCTTATGTTTGTAACATTGTCGTGTCAGCGCTCTGACGAGCCAACCTGTGCATGAAGTAGGAGTTCTGTTGGTTTGGGCCACAGTTGTGTTTTTGCACGTTAATGTGGGCAGGTATGTAAAAACACACACAAACAGACATCAGTGTACACGTGGACAATGAATCTCAGTATTTGTCAAATGTGCGTGTTACAAACAGACTAGACCTTTAGACACGTGAGGTTACTGCTGCTGGAGGAGCAAATCTTAGAAACTGTGAAGTTCTTTAAAAGAATCAGAGGTTGAGCTGGTTCAGGTTTGAGTTTATCCAGTTGACTCCAGGGTTAACCTGACTTTTCTGTATTACGAAGGTGGTTTACTTCTTACTGGGATAACTAATGCTGCAGACCTAACGTGCTCTGGAGCTGCAAGTATGAAATCACTACTCCCTGACAATTGGCTGGAAAATAGCGTCACCATTCCTGGAGCATCCCTGGGACTGCAGTGCATGGACAGTAATGGAAAAGTCTTTAAAGAGCATCTAAAGTCTTTGTGTTTTCCTGAAGGACGTCAGTAATTAATGTAGATTAGTAGACAGAACTTTAGTTGTTGATTTTTCAGTTTTATTGAGCTCTAAGGATTTATATAAGATTCTAAAATCATCACATACAAAGTCTACATTTGCATTCTGCTTTTTATATTTATCCTTAACCATAAATAGAGCGTGGCTGAAAGAATAAACTTACAAAATGAATTTATTGAAGTAACAATTATAATCTGTCTGATTCTCCTGTATGTGCTTCCTTTGGAGACTTCTTTAATGTTATCGTAGTTGGTGCAACCACCTCCTCTGACACAAAAGCAGCTGGATTATTAGTCTATTAATCACAGACTCAAGTGGGTTTTGTTTCGTGTACGCTGGAAGATCAACAGCTTCTGTTCCCTGTTTGTTTGCATTCACCCTAAATGGATCTGACGGGTTGCTGCGCTCTGTGAGTTTGAGGTGCTGAACTTTGGACAGCAGCCGGTGGGTTCACGTTTTTCCGGTGTTTAAGAGGAGGTCTTCAGCACCAGTGAAAATGAGGAGCAGGACTGGGAGTAGTTACTGGGGTCAGTTAGGGCCTTTGTAGCAGCTCTCCTTGTTACCACCTTTACACATGTGTTTGTTACCTACTGGCTGGTGAAATGAAAACAGTGTCTGTCCTGCACTCAGAGCTCACAGTCCTACAGACATACACTGTAGAGGCTGCCATACGGTTTTGGGTCAATGGCGACGCCCCAACAGGGAAATATTTTAATGAAGTTCAATGCAGTGATGATTGTGGACATTAAGTGAGTCGCTGTTTATCAGGAGTCAACACGTTTCCTCTCATATGTGAAGCTGCTGTTTGGTTTTGGGTCATTTAGAAGGGTCGCAGCTACATTTTCAGGCAAAGTCCTTTTTGGTTTTAATTTAAAGAAGCTTTCACTTTCTAGCTGTCCTTCTCCTCCTCATCGTCGTATTGAAGAACTTACTTTGTACAATAGAGCTCCTCTCTATCCCAAAGCCTTAATTTTTAAGGTGTTTGTGCAACTTGATCAGGGGTTTTTTTTGTTAGTTTTCATATCTCCCACATTTTCCTCAGTCTGTGCTTGCTGCTGTGACCGTAACTGAATGTACATGCTGTGCTGTGATACTAGTTTTTATGAAAAATCTGTGACTGTGCTGTTTGGTTTTATTTATTTAAATACAAGTAAGGGATCAATTCTGTTCCTGAGCTTGTGGAGATACATGTGTGCCTAAAATCGGTGTGAGAAACAAAACATGCAGATATCAGAAAATTATTTTGGAAGGCCATAATATTAAGAAAAGATCACAACAAAAATACAAACAGCTTGTAATCACTAATTTCCTGTCTTGGACATGTCGTAAACACCGAGAGACACATTTAACTTCATATCAGCTCGGTTTTCTTAAACTTTGTGACAGAGTTTGAGGCGCTCCTCAGCCTGCTGACTGTACACTTCTTTGCTCGTGTAAATAATCTGTATAGCTGTAATGTAAAACCAGAGTCTGAGCCATTTGTCACAGAAAAAAGGTTTATTTAAAAATAAAGTTGTATCCCTCTTACTCGTCAAGAACAGTGAAAACAAAACCATTGTGTTACCCACTTTTCACTGCTGTTCTGGGGTTTCTGACTTTTAACTGAGAGCAAAACAAATCTTCATCCATGTTGGTGTGTGTGTAGCAGAGTTCATACAATGGAGACATTAAATGCTGAGATCAAAACAGATGAGATACGCTGATTTATTCTGTCCAAACTTTGCTGATGGCTTGGCGCTCTGAGCAGATTCCTCCAGAAACCAAACATCCTATGATCTGATCAAAGATGTGCTCTGAACAAGCCCAGCTAACAGAAAAGAAATAAGGCTCTGGCTGCAGCAGAAGGGGTTTAGCTAATCACTTAAGCAGGCCTCAGAGTCATGGTTATTAAGAAGCGACTGTGAAGGGTTCAAAATATTTGCTTATTCGCTGAAAAAGAAATCGTGCTGGGTATCACTGTTGGTTTAGCACGAACTCAAGCATTCCCACCTTGGATATGTACGAGCTTTAAACGCTGGTGATATTCTACCTTTAAAAAATAAAAAAATAAATCATGACCAAGTTCCATAAAAAGACCAAAACCATCAATGAACAGTTTGCTCCAGCAACTCTCTTATGCATGTGCCGTTTAGTTTGACTCAGTCCCACCTGCTACTCTGTCCTCATGTTTTAAGAATGGCTGCTAAGCGCTACAGTCCAGTAATCATCCTGTGAGTCACTCAGTGCTTGTGTGCACTTGTCATCAAGTGTGAAATGTGGTCCTGGAGATACTAGTGAGACTATTTTGACGCCGTTTAAATGTGCATTAAAGATGAAGAACCACGGGTGCACGGTTGATTTAAACGATGTGTGTGAACACACTGGTCTAAACATTGACATATTCAGTGCTACTCAAATACAAGGCTTCACTTACAGCCCTGATTTTCTTTTTGAATTCTAAAAAAACCCCAAATGTCACCATCCAGGCTGATCTATTAGCTGACAATCTTTTATTCTGAAAGTTACTTCAATTCAGTTTCAGTTATATAACCAAATCACAACAACAGTGACCTCAAGGTGCTACAACACAGAGAACCCCAACAACTTACCATGGGCAAGCACGGCCCCCCATGGGCAAGCACGGCCCCCATGGGCAAGCATGACAAATAGCTCCTGGCTCGTCTTTCCTACTAGCAGGCTCGATAATGGTCAGCTGCTTCTTGACTCAGTCAGATGTACTCTAACCCCTCTTGGACTTTCATTTCAAGTAGAAGTAAAGAAGTACCAGCTGTGGTTTGACACAAACTGAGTCGTCTGCTTGATGACAGAGTCACTGGAGAGGCAGCTGATTATTGCTTCATTATTTATTGTAGAACAGCACATACTGTGACGTTTCACAATTCACTGATCAAACTGTAGGTATGCCCCCTTTTAAATGTATGCCCCTGAAACTGATTACTGGACTCCAGTTTTACATTTTTAACAGGAACCAATGCGGAAACTAGCGATTTGCACTAATGCACTGTTGGTTTTGGGTTTTTTTATGGGATTTGTTTTGAAGCACCACCAGATGCTTTTCGTGAAAGTTTAAAAACCACTCTTTTTTTCTTTCTTCAAGCTTGAAGCCACTTGTGTATCCATCACATGTGCTGCAGGTCACATTTAGAAAGGACCAGACAACTATGAGTAATCAGTTTAAGGCATTCAAAATCAGACATCCCATTTATTCTACATGTGCTGTGTTCATCTGATTCCTCTTATTACTGACTACTCAACTGGTTAATCGCATTACTATCACACATGTGAATCCACTGCCGAGCTTGACTGGTAAACATGATGAGCTGACACTGCTTTCTTTCTTTTTGACTTTAGTTCTGAAAAACAAAGAGCCTATCAGTTTTATCACTTTCCCAAATATCTTCATCAAAACAATCTTAAGATGTGGACAGCCAATTTAAATTTCTTAAAATGAATATAAATCAAAAAACAAACAAAAAAAAACAACCTGACTCTGATGTTGCAGAAGTAAACATGTATAACAGAGTAACGTCACCCTGCCACAAATAGCTCACCAACAGTCGTCAAACAAAAGCAGAACTGAAGTTAAACCACAAAAAGGCACGTCATGTTTTTTGAAACACTTAACTTGGCGGCAGATCGGTGACCTGCTTAACAGGGTAAGAAAAAAGAAGAAGAAAAAGGCGCCATTCAGGCTAAACTGAAATGTGTGCAAACAGAAACAACAGTGAAATGAAAGCAAAGCACAAAGTGTACGAGGCTCATTTCCCCACAAAACAAGCATGTTTGTCCACTACTGTCTGCCTTACAGAGAGCGCGATGAGAGTTACGTTTAGACTGGAAAGTTTAAACCAATCTTTGTGTCATTTAAGCTCTTTAAGGAATAAATAATCAAACATTTGATAAGATATTTTCTATACTATACTTTCTAGAATGATCACAAAGCAGCCAGCCAGACAGACACAGGCCTGGCTTAGGTACGTAAATCCATTTGAGACCAAATTCTGGTGCAAAATAAAAATGCTCCAATATTTTATTTTTGTTGCTTTTTTTGGTCTCATATCACAGCTGAAAGCAGGACAGCAGAAGACAAAGTCTCCTTCTCTTTATTCATACACCTAGAGACAAATATGCTTTTTTTAATTACATTTAAATTACCCTCCATAAATAAAAGTCAATAAAAAGGGAAACAAAAGAAAAGACACCCATCCTATAAATAAAAAAAGAAAAAGATTTCCAGCCGAACACAGCGATAAAGATCTGTATACAAAATAAATACAAAAGAAAACCTTTAAAACTCATATGAACAATATACAGTGTTACTAATATCATGTTAAACCTCTGATTAACTTAGTGCATTTTTTCCATTCACCACAAGAAATACAAATCTCATCTTTTTTTCCTTATTTATATTTTTTTAGCAAATAAACAGGCAAATTAAGATCCTAACGATTATCCAAAGAAAAGGAAGAGATGCAAGGTGTAGCGCCCGCCGCGGAGCTCTTTGTTGACATGTCTGTGGTGCGTACAGTATGCTGCAAAGGATTTACAGCGGTCGTGTGGAAGATGGGAGACGAGTGTGAATCTGTGTTTTGTCTTTTTTTTTCTTAGTCTTTTTTTAAAAACAGTTTACTACACAAAGACCTCGACGAACATCTCTGTAAGTAAGGATTTTGTGTTTCTCTCCGAGTCTTCGGAACAACGTGTTGACAGTAAGGCATCCCAGCCTTTTGCTGCAAGGTGTTACCGCTGCTACTGATGACGGCTATCGTCTACGACTCGAAGTCACAACACAGAGAACGAGCGATGTCATTTTGGTGCGTGCCTAGTGCCGGATGGTGTGCTTAAAACAGGCAGACAAACAAAAAAAAATTACAATTCTCTACTGGCCTTTTGCAGAAACACTCACAGACACACACAGTCCCTCGTCTTTACAACGTTTTAAAACACGTGTGCAACTTAAATGTATGAAAACCGAACACGACAGTCTTGAATTTCCTCTCTTTTAAGGGTGGGGGTGGGGTGGGGATGAAGATCACGGAGTCTGGTGAGGATGCGTCAGGAAACGATCGAAACTGCCAGGATAAGAATCTAGATTTCTACTTTTACTTGTCCAATCTAGTCTTTTTTGTTCAGAAGAGATGAATGGGTTGGTTACAGTGTAAATCTGATTACAGCCCACTGTGTTTGTGTGTGTTTCTATGTGTGTGTGTGTGTATGCTGGGGGATGTGGGCCTTCAGCGGTGCCGGTCCAGTGCAAACCTACCTAAAAATAACAGTTTCAGATTAGAGCAGGGGTGAGATGGACGGAAGGGTGGAGTGGAGGGGTGGAGGGTCACCGATATGTGCAGTCCACCTCAACCGCTGCGACTTCGTACAACTCCCTTTGTTGATTCAAGTAAATCCACGCCACTTCCAGGCCTCATAGCGCCACCTGCTGATGAAGGTGAGAGTTGGCAGATGCTCCGGTCAGCTGCAGGAGTGCTCCTCCTCCAGCTACCGGAGGAAAACAATAAATATGAAGAGCGAGCTCAGTCCTGTGATTGTTCTTTTTGTCCTGTTGTTGTCACAAAGGAGTCTGGTTTGTGTGTTTGATAGCTGCATGACTGCTCGGGAATGTGCATCTCCCTCAAGCACACTCCTTGAAGCTGCTGTACATCCGCCCACCACCGCCCCCTCCCCGATCACCGCAATCCCATCTGATTCCTGACCCTCTGTCAGCCTGGGTGCTGCTGCTATAGGCAGTCTTTGCACAGCGCCACCTGGCCCTTCATGTAGTCACGGCAGGGACAGATGCGCTGCAGTGTCGAGTGGGCGCCGGCGCAGCTGAACAGCAGCAGGTCCGACTGGAAGATGCAGTGATGGCGAGTCTCGCTGTATGCGGGCACAACGGTGTCGGCGCTCGACTCCACCGTTTGACAGTCCATGCCAAACCTGACGGAGAGACTTTAGGACTTTAGATTTTATTTTTAAACACTTTTTTTAATGTGAAGGAGAGACAAGAAGAGAAAACACATGCACACACTGGTGTCTTTGAGCTGCAGGCTTGATAATCCATTTTTCTTCTGTAACTAAACTCAGCCCACTAGTGGTCATAACTATAACTGCAGGTTTCAGCAGCTCATCAGAGAATGATAAACTGCTCACATGAGCTTAAGCCTGTGTCGTGCTGCCACCTGGTGGCCACTAATATTGAGACAAAGTATGTGTCCCACCTGGCCAGGTCTTTGTCCTTGTTAAGGTGCTGGAAGAAGGAGGGCTCACAGATGAGCTGCTCCTCCTGACAGACCTGCTTGCAGGAGTGCCCGGGCTCTGCCAGCTTCACTTGCAGGGCGCTGAGGGGAGGCCACATGACCTGACCATGACAGAAGTCCTGAGGACACAACATGATGTTAAACAACAGGAGTGCAAAAAGGAGGAAAAAAGAAAAGGAAAAAAAAACGTAACTCTGTAATACCTGTATGCTTTATGTAAAGAAAGTAAAAATAAGTTAGCTCTGCCGCTCTTTAAACTAACTTTCATATAATTGGTTGCCACATGCAAGCAGGAGGTTTAAACGGGAGGTGGGCGGGGCTTCTGTGCTCGGAGATTACAGAGATCCAAGAGCTTAAAAGCTGACAGAAATGAAACGTGTAGTATTCTTCGTACACGTGCCGACCTCATTATTTAAAAAACATGTCCGTCTTTAATATGATCTTCCAACACTGTAACACAATATGACAGAAAATAAGAGCAAAATTAATCCGAATAAAAGCATTTTGTTGGCATGTTATACCTTTAATTTGAAGATAACAGGAAATGATCAGGGAGATGACAGAAAGGTGTTGGCATACCTGTCAAACTCCATTAAATTCATCTTTATTGTAGATTTTGTTCATTTCATGGGATGTTTTGATCGCTCTTATAGCTTCTACTTCCTCTCATATTTCATTTTGCTTTGATGTCTACTTGCTGTAAATGCTTATGGTGAGTTATTTCGACAGGCTTTAATCTTTGAATTTTAATCAGCAGCAGCTGAACTTGCTGGTTTTGAAAATCTATACGGCCCTGGGGACGCCAACCACAGCTGAGGGTGGCATGAATTAACGCCCGACATGATTTCATTCTGACTTGTGTGCACGTGGAAAAGATGGAGAGGCGCTCTGCAGAGGCAGTACCTGGTTCTCGATGAAGGCGTTCACTCTCTGCAGCATCCCCTCGCAGGTGAACTCATAGGGCAAGTAGGGCTCAATCTGAATAACACAAAACACAGACTGTTAAAACACGTGCAGGGCGAGGGAGCTTGTAAACTCTTGTGCTCGACAGTGTTTCTAAATGATGACGCTCAGAGAGCTCCTCCCGGTGAAGCGTTAGCTTGCTGTCTGATCTTTGCACCGCTGAAGGAAACTTCAAACGGGGGACGACCAACAACTGCAGCCTTTGTTGCTGAACTGAGTTGCTCCGTGCTCCCTCTGAGCTTTTGGCTGCTGGGAGGAAGCAAGGATGAGGAGAGGGGAAGGGAGGGGGGGAGCAGGAGGAGAGCCGGAGCCTGGTAGGCTGCGTCTCGCCACGGATCACGGCGCATATGAGGCTCTGTGGGCTCGTCCAGTGAACACAGGCATTGTTCTGACCAGCTCGGCGGAGTACAACAACACAACGAGGTCCTGAGTCCAGTTTTAAATATGCATGGGCCCGGACCAGGAGACGGAACACGATATCTCCATCAATCCTCCTGCGGCTCCAACAAGGTTTTCCTTAACGACTAACCAGCCAGGACGCCATTTACACAATCACACCCTCTTTTTTGCTCCGTGTTAAGACATGTGAGGCACACTTGCTTTTTAACTTAGAAGAAGAAGATTTGAAGATTTGAATTTTTCAGATTCATTCACTGCAGCTCATCATATAAGAAATCTATGAAAACAGCTGTCCACATTTTTATTCAGTAAACAAATTCATTCCCTCTTCACACCAAATACTACAGCAAAGGGAATGGAGGCAATAATGTTAGTTAAAAAAAGCTAACTCACACTCTTTTCAAGTCCAGCCACAAGTTCTCGATCAGACTGAGATCTGGGCCAATCCAGAACATTCACCTTGTTGTCTGTGGATCATTTCTCTGCTTGGTGCATATTTGTCTGCATTCATGTCCTTCTCTGCCTTTACAAGCCTTCCAGGGCTCGCTGCTGAGAAGCACCCCCAGAGCATGATGCTGCCTCCACCATGCTTCACAGCGGAGATGGTGTATTTGTGGGGATGTCCATTAGATTAGATGCTGTAGCATCTAATCTAATGGACAACAAGCTCAAATTCTGTCTCATCAGGCCAAAGAACCTCAACTGGACAAATCATCCCAGCAGTTGGAAATCTTTTTGTAACCATGTCCTGACTTTTACTTTTCAATCTGTTCTCTGAGTGGCTTAGAGCACACTTTTGTCCTCATGTTGCAATTGTAGCAGGAATACTAAAAAAGAGACTGGACCTCCCAGACACAGGAGGTTTTATGTCACAATCACTTGACACATCAACACAGGTCCATTTCACTAACAGTGACACTGCTGGAATCAATCATGTTTATGTAGAGCAGCAAGAAAGTCTGTACAACAAACAAGTGTACACTGAAGCTCATTTAACTTTTTTATTCATTAACCCCCAACCGGTCGCGGAAGATGGCCCCGCCCCTCCCTGAGCCTGGTTCTGCTGGAGGTTTCTTCCTGTTAAAAGGGAGTTTTTCCTTCCCACTGTCGCTAAAGCACTTACTCATAGGGGGTCATATGATTATTGGGGTTTTCTAAATTTTCTTGTATTACAATATGGTCCTTACCTTGCAATGTAAAGCACCTTGAAGCAACTGTTGTTGTGGTTTGGTGCTATATATTAGAACCACCACCATTTAGAACAGTCACTATATATGGAAATTTCCCTGGAGGTGTATTGTGGAAAAAGTGGTGATGCTTAAGAGAGAAGACTGGCAGCTTAAAAAAAAAGCACAAGAATTTCACAAGTGAAGAAATTGAAAGAATAGTGTCAGAGGATGAAGCTGGAAAAAGCACACCTTTGGGAAGTGCCTGCGCTGCAATACAGATCAGGTGAATGTTGTGTCCTCTGAGATTCAGACAGCGGCTCGGATGGAGAAAAAAAAAAGAGAAAAGGTCTGACATTTAACTTGATAAGGGGGGTAAAAAAAAAGTAACTGAAAGAAAAAATAAAGAAGGAAGCAGGTTGAGAAGAAGGCGCGTCAGATCTGTCAGCTCATGATGAGAGACTCACTGCAATTACTGGCTGAACACCCAGGAGCCAGACACTGGCAAGAAATGAAGGTGAAAAGTGCTGAAACCCAGTGAGGATGAAAGGGGCATAAAAGGGAATTTGAAGATGACTTGTTGTGTTTGTATTTAAGTTCATTTAAGGTATTAAAGTCTGTCAGTTAAAGCTTGCTGAATGTGCAGCGAATTTAGTTAAAAGATGTTTGCAGCTATGCAGCAGTAGGGCCGAAAGCTTGTGTGTCTGTACAGCACCTAAGGGGCTTCTGCCCTTGTTGTAGAAACAAATATGCAATAACATTTGTGAAATTGCACCAAATTTTAGCGTCTTTCAGTCGCCCGCGGTTACCTTTTGGCTGAGGATGGAGCGGATGGCCCTCTCTACTTCGGCAGAATTCTCGATATCCACCGTCCACACGTGGGGCCGACCGATGTACACCTCGGCGTATGGGTGCTGAGAGGTCAGCTGCAGGCAGCAAAGCAGAAATGAGAGGGGTGGGGGGGTTAGGAAAATCAAACGATTTAAAAGTTATGGGTCGAGCTGCGGGGGACAAATCCCGCACTCCTCTCACCTCTCTCAGGGTGGGTTTGCCCTTGAAGAAGTCTGTGTTCTTGCTGCTCTTCGAAGGGTTGAACTTGGGGTTGAGGAAGGCACAGCCGTTGGCAATGGCCTCCAGGGGGGCGGGACCCTCGTAGGGGAAGGAAAGACCCACAAACAGCTGCAGAGGAGAGAACACACACGGCTGTCAGGCTCCATAGGCTGGATATTAACACACACAAGTCAGTAAGGAGGAGGCATGTGTGAACAGCAGTGTGCAGGTCCTGAAATAAGCACAACTAAAGGTGCCGGTGGGAGGAGGCAGAGGGGCGGCGAAGTTTACTGGCTGTGTTGAGGAGTCGCCAATAGTGCCTTGTAGAAACAAATCTCCCCTGTTATCAGCACAAATTGTGACGGAGGCAGCACATTTTCGCCATGAAACAAGGGAGGGAAAACAAGCCCGATAATATGAAGACATCACTTTTACGTTTACTCCTCCCACGGGGCTGAAGGAGTTTGATATCTTAGGCGTGGAGGTACATAATAGCTCAGCAATCAAATCAGATAGTAAACGATCATGGAAACTGGCAAAGACACCTTAGAACCGCCTTTCAGCTCTGAAATGACTCATTTAAACCAACGTTTATGTCTTTTAGGTGTTTCTTCGGCTTGTTTGGCACCACATTAGCCATTACTAACACAGAAATACGTAATTTTTCTACTCAAACCTCTAAGCCTGGTTCTGCTGGAGGTTTCTTGCTGTTAAAAAAGCGGTTTTCCTTCCTGCTGTCGCCATGTGCTTGCTCAAAGGTGGCGTCTGACAATTTTCCACCACCATGTAGTAAACATGTAGTTTTCCATATTAAACAAAAAAAGAAGGCTCTGTACAAGGAACGAGTGGCTTCTCAGCACTGAAAGTAAAACTGTGACATTCCACAAAACCTGACGGCCGACCGGGACTCTGGAAGTTTCTGGGTGTTTATGCTACGGTATAGTGTCTCCACTGTTTGTGCTTAGCCAGAATCCCAAACATTTATTTCAGTAAACAGTGAAAACGGGTGGAGGGTTCTAGAAGCAATTTTTCTTCTCCTGAGTGGAAAGAAAGCAAATATTTGTGGAGCTCGCCTGCATGAGTAGTGAGACAGCAATCGAGAAACTGAGAGGGGAGGCCGGGTGCCAGCTGAGTGGCTTATTGAGTGGAGCCAGCTGGCTGACACAATGGCTTATCTGTGTGTTTGAGTCGGTGTTACATACACACGCTTTCTTTAAGTGCACAATGCAGCGCTGTGTCATGAGGTATGCCTGTAGTCACATGAATAATCAGACCTGTGGAGTGAATTCTGCTCTTTCAGCTGTGAGTGTTACTGAAATATTTCTGCCAACAGGTGGCAGCAAAGCACGTGCGTTCTTTAATCGCATGCATGCAAAGGCTCCTGAAAGCTGCAAACCAGTCAGCTGGTACTTGTAGGGAGAGGACCCAGAGGGGGAGAAGAGCTGAGATAAACACACTGAATAACTCAGGTGGGAGTTTATGACTAACGCTTGCAAACTGATTGTAGCTAGATGTGAATGGATTGCGGATGGAAGTTTATAGCACTGACCCACAATCTCATCATTAGTTTACAACGGCTCTGGAGTCCCGTGGTCATGGACAGGCTGACTTCAACACCATGCAGCTCTCCACATGAAAGCTGCTATCGATTTGGACCCCTGAGGAAACATCCTGCCTTACTCATGCAAAGGACACACACCTACGACACGAGAAGATTTCATTTCTGCTCTCATCGCTCAGCTTTAAAGTCGAGGGATGCGACTAATGATTATCTGCAGAACATCTGAAGGAAAAAAGTAGCATCAGTGCTAACAGTCAAATATGCATGAGGGCAATGCGGGAGTCTGTAACAACAACTGTACAAAATATACAATTCTTGTAAAAATAATCAACAGAAATCAATCACATTTTACCATGAGTACTTTCTTACTTAATAGAAATGATTGCTCAGTAACTATGCGCTCATGATAAAATATTGATATTGAATGGATAAAATATGATTGATTTCTGTTGATTTTTTTTTACAATAATTGTGTATTTTTTTGTGTGTATGCTGTTAATGAAAAATGTGTTTTTGTTGTGTGAACATCCTGTAGTGTAATCACTGGAGCCTCAAAACTTTGCCTTTAAGCAACCTGACTACATGTAAATGTTCTGTAAACGCAAGTACATTCAAAAACTTTAGATTCAACTAGAATCTGGTCAAATTTAATGGATTTCATTGGTATACATATGCATATTTTCCTTAAATAAATAAACCTTGGATTTCATATATGTCAGCTGCATTTTACTAAAAATATTAATGAGGGCCAAGAATAGTTTTTTTTAAATACCAGTAGCCGTCTCTGAAAGCACTTAAATGTTGTAGGGAAGAAGAGCAGTTACTGTAGTACAAGTTACCTGTAGTTATTAAATATCAAAGATCACTTCCTTTACCAGTTTTTTTTTTTGGCTTGTTTGTTTTAAACACTTTCAGAAGCAGCAGCATAAACGTCCTCAGGGTTTTTTGCAAGCCTTGACAAAATGATCAGAAAAACAGTTTGAACGGGTGAGTGAAAGTGAGACTGTGCATATAAGAAGTTATATAGATATGAAAATATCATGTATCACCTTGCAGATGTGGTTTGAGGGCGGAGGGAGGGGATTTTTTTTTACTAATAAATGTGACGCGCTCACACACTAAAAGTTAAACTCTTATGATCAAATAACTCTTAGAATTTAGTCAGGAATTAAAGTATCTGCTCTCTTTGACATCACACAGAAACATAGTGGATGAAATGGAGACTAACGGACACTTTAGATCAGCCTGAGCTTTCGGCTAACACCTTTATGCACTGAGCACATTGAAGATTTTTGATGCAAATTTGTCGTATAACATCGAAACAGTTGCGATTTTACTAACGTTTTGCCAAAATCCACCCAAAAATGCACTATGATTAAACTGGAGTCAACATCAAGCGATGGTGAGCTGGTCCTGATGCTTCTAAACACTAATCTGGCTCAAGAGTTGGGAGTTCGCCTTGCAATCGGAAGGTTGCCGGTTCGAGCCCCGGCTCGGACAGTCTCGGTCGTTGTGTCCTTGGGCAAGACACTTCACCTACCGCCTACTGGTGATGTCCAGAAGGGCCGATGGCGTGATATGGCAGCCTCACTTCTGTCAGTCTGCAGCTGTGGCTACAACTGTAGCTTGCCTCCACCAGTGTGTGAATGGGTAGATGACTGGGTGTGTAAAGCACTTTGGGGTCCTCAGGAGACGGCGACAGTAGAGAGAATTTCATAGTTTGATCCAGGAGTTGATGCTGTCTCGCACGCTTTTGTACGAATTTCAGGATATTCGTCTGTGGGGCAGTTTGAACTCTTTCTGGCAGAGTAAGGATCACATCCGAGGTGATCAATTCAGAGAGATTGGGTCAGTCATTCGACTCGAAGCTGCATCTAGCTGTGTGTCTGAGGTGAAACAGTATTATTCTACCATCTTTATATCACTGTATATTCATTGTATATTCAGTATTGTTGGTGGTCAGATCGGTTAATTTGCATAAAAAACAAAATCAGAAAAATACAAGAGGTGAAATTTGTCCGTGGAAACCAAAGTGCTCTATAAATGATGTTTAATGTGTTCTTCTTTACATTACGGTGTCTGTCAAATGTCAGACATCACCTGAACTTTCCAACATTATCTCATGCAACAATAGCGTCTTAGTTCTTAGCCACAGTAGCAGCAGGTGTTTTGCATTTCTGATTATTTCGACTGTCTTTCCCTGGAACAGTGAGCAGCTATTAGCCAAAAGACCTGAACACTCACAGGTGCTACAACTTCCACAATCTCTTAGTAACTTGCAGAACTCAACGCCAGATCAAGATCATATACAAAGGAGAAGAAGCTGCTATCTGCACCTTTGTCTAGCATGTAAATTTAAGCTAACGAGGTATCTGGAGTGAAAGTTGTCATGCAAAACGTGCTGGAACAACATCAGATTTCTGCCGTTGCCACGCAGGGCTTAAAAACACGGTGGCTTCTGAGTGTAATGACCCAGCGAGTTAATTAGGCTGTTTGTTCATGATATTTCTAATCCCAGCACCTGCCATGGGATGTTTGAGTTTTCCCTTTATGCTGATTACAGCGGCATTAACGGTGGAGCAAGACAAACACCATTACCATACTAACACCATTTCTTATTTTGCACACACTGCATACAGTAGCATAAATTGGTTGTTGAAAGCACGGTGTGTGCAGAAGGTGGAAAAACAGAAGCAAGAGAATCTAACAGGTTGAGTTAGACAGGCCTGTGAGACGGATGTGAGAAGGCAGAGAGAAAAACATCAAAAACCTCTGACTCTGTCAGTCTGCAACATGACGCAGCAACGTTTTGCTGCATGTCAGCGGTTTGATCATCCACGCTATTCACCTGATAGAGCGCAGCACGTCACAGTTTATTTCAGGGAATTTGGAGCTTGAACAACCTCCCTCCTTCCTTCAAATGTCACAAGGCAACATATTCGCAAAAGCGCCTCAACGCGGGAGCACTTTTAAAGCTAAACCTCACGAGGCCAATTAGCTGAGGCAGTCTGCTCGCAGGTAACAGTAAACGTGTTGTTTAAGCGACGAAAGGACGAGTGCCTATAACGCCCCTTGTTTTGCTTGTAAACTCTTAAACAAGAATGCCGGAGAAATGTCTGGTTTTGTGCGATTTAATTGGCCGTTCCCCGATGGGTTTCCAGCCAGGAACGCATGTAATGAGAAGATATGGAGGTTTATATTATATCCCGGTTCTGTTGTGTGTTTACCTGCCAGACTTTGCTAATAAAGCTCTCGCTCCAGCAAATCATAATTCAATGCACTGTTGGTGGAGCGTTGTTTGCCTTCAGTCTTTAATGATCCGCTCCACTGCAGAATGCATCGTTGTCTTTCTGTGCCTCGGTGCCTCGAACATCACCGGATCCTTGGTTTCAGGTGCTCAGGACAGAATCACTAATGTTTTATGGCTAAAGCAACTCTGCAGCTCTGCTAAGGACAAAGAGGTTTAGATATATATCCATCTTTTTTTCTATAACTGACTGTATCGTGAGCTGTGGCCGTCTCGCTCTGATGTCCCTCCCTTGCCTGAAAGTATCTAGTTTCAGAGGCTAAAGAAAATCGAAGCCTCCCCTCACCTCATTTTTCCTGAAAGGGATGAAGACTGAAGCCAGAGAGATTCTCAGCTGAATTAGTGCCAGTTTGCACCTCCAGCGGATGTTGCTGTCAGCTATGTGAGGATCTTGTCATTTTCATTCTGTAGCTCTTTAGAAGTTTGCAGCTCGGTGGGAATTTTTTGGATACGTTTTCAAAGTGGGTCCACAGACCGTTCAGAACACGTCCCCTCATGACCGTGCAGTCTTAGCAAAACCATGACAGGTCATGGCAGACCTCACAGGAAATCGATTTCTGCTTCTTCTCCTTGTATTTCTGTTCTGTGTGGCAGTTATGGACACTATCAGGGTTTAGGCTCAAGTGAGAAGCAGTGTCCTGACCTTTAGCAGACTTCTAGGGCAACAGGTATGTTTGTGTAATGAATGTGTCCCAAGATAAATCAATCCAGTGGTAAAACTGTCTAGTTTAAAACATACATTGTATATCAAAGATGAACCTGCACAAAGCTGCAATAACTCTAATAATGTTTAACTTTAAGCCTTGAAAGAACTAAAGCGGACAGCTAATTATAGATATAAAGCAACTGCTTTTACAACAAGAGGGGACTGCAGCTTCTGGGAATTATTTATTATTTTTACCTACAAGTGTTTGTTTTAATAGGTGTAAAACAAAGTGTTGTATGTTTAGCAGCCTTGCATACATTCGTAAAAACCTAGAAACCTGCCTCTCATACGTCACTGCCTCTGAAGAGCTTGCTCTACACAACACATTGCCATGTAGTTGTCTTTGTCAGTGCGAGTGGTTGGAGTAGTGAGAGGAAGGGACAAGTCATGACCTGAATGGGGAAGTACCTCTGTGAACGGCCAGGCTCAGAGAAAGCACAGCCACTTGGCTCAAGGCTCTTTCAGAAGAAGACCTCTATTCACATAAAGACATTTTTTCCACCCAAACCTCCAATAAGTCTCAGAAGAATCACATATTTACTCCAACTTGCCTGTAGATTTATTTTTGTAGCACTGATATGTGCTTCAATATTTCTTTTTTCAATTTCTTTTGACAAGCAGACTAAATATAAAGCAAGAAGAAAAACATTCAGAGGTGATTTTGTAGTCACGGCGCATCAAAAAGTCCAAGGTTGGTTAATAAAGATACAGCGTTTCTTCGATATACTGCAGGTAAGCCTCGCTACAATTTCTGCATTATTTAAAAAAATGTCAGTGTGGCAAAGTGTGGGAGTTGATCTGTGGCTTTTACAGCCACCTACTAAGAACTGCAGCCATGTACTTTTATTTCCCTCAAGGCTCATTTTTCCATGTTAGAACATTTAAAGTGAGGATCTCTCACCTTCGTTTCTCTCAGGAGGAATTGAAGGTCTCGGCCGCTAAGGATGCCGTGGTTCTTAACGTAGCTCGGGAGGTGCACGGTGCTGGTGCCGTGTACTGTGCCGTGAACCTCCATGTAGCTGTGAATGATGTCCAGGTACTTCTTCTTGTCCTAAAAAACAAATGGGGAGGAAATGAAGCAGATCAATTTAAATTAGGTTCAAAGCAGCATTCAAACGTCAACCTTTTTAGGTTAAACTGGTAGAATTTAGAGACAAAATCTCCTCTCCTGCAAAAGCTCTTTGAATAGCAATTTCTGTTTGAGGGGATCAGTATCAGTATTTCATTTCGTGTCCTGGTGAACTTTTGTTCAGGCTACTCGACAGACCATCTGGCTTGAGTGGTGGGCTCAGCTAAAAATAGCACTGTAAAAGGAGCATCGGTGCACACAGTATCTGTTGTTAGTAAAGTCTACCTGATCTGTTATGCTCCTAAAGAAGAAGACCCAAAACCAAGTAATCCTGCTACTTTTACACTTAAAGTCATGCCTGGCCTGTTTCTACTGCACAGGAATGCTGACAAACTGATTATCAGGTCAAATGTGAAACATGGATAGAAAAACAATCTAATCTAATTTAAAGACAAACACATAGTTCCCCTGTGTTTTTGCCAGTGTTGTTACTTTTTTTCCTTCTTTTTAGCAATTTTACAATGGGGGAAAGGAGTTTTAAAGACAAACAGCTACAGCTATCCAATTGCATTGTGGTAAATGTAGGACAATTTTTTGATTTTAACTTGAGACAAATACTAGGCACTGCAAGTTGAGATATATCAGCTCCTTTTTCGGTAATTAGTTAAGCAACTTGCAGCCATACTTGCAGATGTTAAAGCTGGCCTGAACTGCAGATTCTCCACACTGGAACGAGGTTTAACTGTTTGGTTGGCGACATTTCACACCTGTTATTTTGAATCAAACAGACAGCACAAAGAGTTTGCGGTTTGGAGGTATTTCACACAGGTTTGAAGAGAGGACGGATATAACAGGAAGCAGTGCCGCCTCACAATAAACAGCATTCAAAGTGGTTTTCACTCTCTGTGTTTATACATTACTTTGCATTTAATCAGTTACTATTCATCACTGCCTCTCTTCGGAGCCTCTTCATGTTAAAAGGGAGTTTTTCCTTCCCAGTGTAGCCAAGTGCTTGTTTGGGGGTGGGGGGGCTTGTCTGATTGTTGGGGTTTTCTCTGGACTACTGCAGGCTCTTTACCTTTCAGTGTAAAGCATACTGTTGCTGTGATTCAGTGCTACATTAATAAAACTGAACTGAATTTTCTCAGTTCATTCAGAGCAATAGAAGTCTACCAGCTGACATCAGATGCATGCCTCTCTACAAACTAATGTCAAGTAGAGGGACATGCAGCCCGCAAAGGTGTCGTGGCAGATCATCCCTAAGCCTGGTTAAAGATCTCTTCCTGTTGAAAAGGAAGCTCTTCCTCCCAACTGTCACTAAGCCACATCAGATTGTTGTTTGCAGATTTAGATATGCGAAAGGTGTCAAAAGGACACGTGTTAGCTAATGATGAACAGAAGACACGGCAACATGTGAATTAGAAAAATGGGCTCTTTAAAAACTCCCAGTCAAAAGTTTTCTGGACTTGCTTTTGACATGGTTCTGCACATTATTCCTTAGTTAGGCTATCATATTTAAGTTTCTCCCACAGAGAAACCCGCAGCAGGTGTTCGACTTTTAAAAACAAGGACATAACTGTTGTATAACCCTGCAACACTCGAACATAAAATGCTGAACTGAAGTGCAAAATATGTTTTTAACTGTATCCTGTGCCTTCTAAGCACTGAGCCCTGTGGGAGCGGGGTACAGTGCAGCTGAGCGCTCTTAAGGTAGAACCCTTCAGGGAGGCAGTAAGATGAAAGCTCCCACTCTTCTCCATCGTGATGTGAAGCCACAATTACCAGTATGTATGTGTGCGTACACACACACACACACACACACACACACACACACACACACACACGCAGAACACACACACACACACACACACACACACACACACACACACACACACACACACACACACACACACTTCTATAATGGAACATTATTGTTTACAAGAGCTTTAACACTCATAGAGAGGCAAGGCTTCACTGTTGTTAAAAGTATAAATCAGATATCCTACACACGAGCCTGCCTTTGAATCTGTTCTACCTCCAGGATCTGTTCCTGCTCCGTGCTGTTGTGTGTGTGTGTGTGTCTCCCACAGTACTTCCTTTTGGGGGTTAAATTTCAGGTAGTCGCTCGTCAGGGTCCCTGGAGGCCTGGCTATCAGATGCCTCCAGCCAGCCTGCTGTAACTAAAGCAGCCTCTGTGTGTGTGTGTGTGTGTGTGTGTGTGTGTGTGTGTGTGTGTGTGTGTGTGTGTGTGTGTGTGTGTGTGTGTGTGAGATGAAGTCCTAATTAGAAGGTGAAATCACTATCCTGTAATCTCCTCACTCAGGAGGGCTGAGCCAGGATTTGTGTGCGTGCCTGTGTGAGTGTGAGTGAGTGAGAAGGTCTTTACTAATCAAGGTTACTGGTAGGTATCTGAAGAGAAAGCAGAACAGCGTTGAAACTCTAACGCGATGCTGCAGGAGCTCAGAAGACGCTAAGGAAAAAAAGACGAGCAAATAAACTGCTGGTCTATAACTCTGATATTTTACAAGTTTGTCTTATTTAAAGCAATAACCGAAATACGTCTAATGCAGTCTGGTGATTCACATCAATATTTTAATTATGTACATATGCAACATATTTTTTACTTTTACATCAGTTTATGGTGCACTGACTGACTAAAAGAGCTAGGATTACTTTAAAAGCAGAGTTTTTGATGTTATGTTCATAAACTAATACTCTGAATATTACTGCAGTCGGTTGGCAGTCACGTCTTTTTTTATGACCAACAAACCCTATAATAAAAAAACGACTCTTGCAACTTTTACACAACAGCAAGACTGTAAAACACAATAAAATTCAAAAAACCCTCAAATGCACCAAGTGACCAGTGTGTTCAGCAAGTCAATGTGCAACAGTGATAGCTCCTGCGTGACTAAATCATGGTTTAACTGTCTGTATGAACTGTGAAACCAAAGCTAACTGCCTTAACCGTGCATTGTTTCTAACGGCTAGCAGGGGGTGACGCAATGGCTCTCACGTTCTTGATAAGTGCATAATCAATTCAGTTTGTCTAAATTTTGTAGCTGATGGTCCCCATTAGAGTTAAAAACCAGGAAAAATCCTGTAGTGCAAGCCTACAGTATTAAAGTGTTAACGCCAAGCTGTCAGCTTACAGTCGCGCACTGTCCCTGGTCTTCACAGTCACATCATGCTCAGCTTCAAAACACCAAACTGATACGTGATGTCCCAGCGGTTACTTCGCTGTTTGCCATTCCAGGAAGCATGGGTGAGTATAAGTGCTGTAAAATAAGTGTGCGTCAGGTTGCGTCATCTGTAAGAGTGATATGCAAATATGCAACTAAAAAAAAAAATCCACACACAATAAAAGGAAGAAGTCTGAAGGCAGCAGGATGTGAGCTTCTTTCTTTTTAATAAATGGGGACTGCTCCAGTAACCCTGATTGTATGCAGAGGATGAATACGCAGTCGACTGCTGCGGCCCTTCAGGCCACACTCAGCTTTGTACTTACTATCCAGATGTCTTCTAGAGCATGAAGAACATTACAAAAACAACGACGAGCTAGAGGAGCGTGACTGCAAAGTGGATCAACATTTTTTTGATTTATCGTGGATTTCCTTGGCTTTGCTTTCCTGTAATGATGTTATGTCAACTTCTATTCATGATCCTATCTCAGCTGTCAGCACGCTGTGAATTACAAAGAAGTTATGACTTTAGAGCACTAACAGGCTCAAAGTCTTCCCCCTCTGACAGCCTGCGTGCATTTGGGCGAGCAGGGTGACGGGCGCCCGTCCGTACTGTACGTATATGTGTAGGTTTCAGAGCGCGTGTGATATGCAACGTGAAACCAGGGAGCACATCGATTGCGGCGGCCTTGAACAGGAGCACGTGCTCGGGGAGTTATAAAATAACTGCCTGAGCTGGCGAGGCTGATTGAAGCAGGGGGAGGAGGAGGAGGTGCGTTTTATGACCTTGTAAATCAGAGGGAATTTGTAAACCTTGGCTCAAAGAGGAAACAGGAGAGGAGGCTGCTGCTTTCTGTCGGGCTGAGGGATGAGTGTCCAGGGATGGAAGCAGACAGCGTGAGCAACACAGAATCGGAGAACAGCAGACCCACACACATTTTTGGTTTAAAGGGAATCTATTATGCTTTTATCTATTTCCTTTCATACACATGCACAGTTAGAACAGTGGCTTATATTAAACATGGATAAAAAAATAAGGCCAGTGTAAGTACAAGTGATCTCTGTAAGCCAAAAAGCTCAGGCTCAGGGTTTTTTTCTACTCTTGGCTCGCAACATCTCTACAAACCTATTTACAAAGAGGCAGCCAATCAGAAGAGGTTTTCTTAAAGGTAGAAGTTAAATTGCTTTTTTTCCAGACAGGTATAGGATAAAAAGAAGGATTATTTCAACTGGTAAAACACTGAGCTCCATACAGGGGTCTGACATGTTTAAAAAAGAAAATCATTGAAATACATGTACACAACTGTATACAGTCCTCCTAAACTTGATTTTGTTCTCAGGCCTCAAGTTAAAGAAAAGAGAGCAGACTGTTGAGTCGAGCAGTAACCTGAAGAGGCGCGGGGAGCTTGAGCCTCATCAGAATGCAGACAGATGCATGCGCTTCGACTTACATGACCATCAAACTGCCTTCAACATCGAACATCAAACGCACCTCAGATCGGCCCCCTCCCCAATCTGAAATTATTTCCAACTGAGAGACTCTGGGGGCCCCAAAACTGCAAGCTTGTCAATCAAAGCAAAGAATAAAATGAAGTTTAAAAAAAAATCACTTCAGCCATTCTTCAGAGAGACGGGAAAAATCATTTCCCTCCACAACACTCAGACCCATTCAACACACATACTGCAGTGATATACTGAGCCTTGGAGAAAGGCTGCAGTTTAAGTGTGATGTGTACACGGTGCTGCAGAGAGGTTTATCTCTGTCGCTGTATGTTTTAAAAATCAACCATGGAGTCACTT